TTCCTTCTTCAGAAAACAAATATATTCGGGGCAAGGCAATAGATTTAAAAGGATATTTGTAATTAACATTCTCAGTTTCTGGGGAAGCTGGACAAATGCAGTTACTTATGTTCCACAAAAACTGGACACTGTGCAGTGCCCATCATTCATTTTTCTCACAGGGGAAGAAGGAAGCAGACCTGTCAGCTACGGACATTCTCTCAAAGTGAAACTTAGCTCAGGAGAGCAGAACAGACATCCCCGACACCCAAGGGAAATGGTCCAAATATCTGACACAGCACCACTGAGAGAGACGAAATAAACGCACCAACAACAACAACAACAAAAAAAAAAAACCTCCAAAACAAACTCAATAGTTTGGCAGTTTGACAGAGGACAGAAGAAAAACAAATGATCTTGTTCGGCTGCATTGAAACACAATTTGTTGGTAGTCTTGAATACCAAGACGTTTTCCTCTCTTTCAAGATTAAGAGCAGACAGGTAACCAATGAGAGGTTTAGAGGAGACTTGGCAGCATGATCCAAATTTCAAAAAGGTTCCCTTTAACCCACAGCATTCCACATCAAAACCAGGACGGTAAGACACATCAGGCAGATGTCTTCATAGCAGCAATACCAGAAACAACTGTGCCTTAAGCTACAAAGAACTTCTGGAAGTCCTAATAGGATCCCAGGAGGGCAGCACTCTGTGCTGGGACCCTTCCTGAGCTATTTCACCACGACCTTCCATGTTGTGCCCTGCGAACTGAAATCTCCACAGCTGAGAGGACATTCTCCATTTCATACCTTATGACCTCTCCACATCCTCACCTTCCCTCATGACTGGCACAAAGAACATATGGAATGCTGCAAATCCACTCTGGGACTCTTTGACTCTTCCCACATGCCAGGTTGCTTTGTGCCTTTGCAGCAATTTCAAATACAAATCGAGCGCTTAAAGGTTCTGTGATTAAAGTCGTGAACAGCTCTGATCCCTGTTCCACAGATTGTCTTCTTCAGGAAGACCAAACCAAAAGATGAAGCAGAAATCTACCCAAATGTCAACTGGGTGGAAGAATTTCTGCAATTGAAATTTCTACAAAGCTAGGCTGCTGCTCTGTAGATGGGAAGTTTGGTGTGTACATCCAGACACCAGAATGAGCCGTGTGTGGTAACAGGACACAAAAGCTCTACCCAGACTGACTGGGCAGGAGCACAAATAGGGGAAAACAGAGTACAAAGATGACACCCACCTCCTCAACGGCCCTTAAAAATCCTTTCTGAAGAGGAGCACAGATCCACCATGGCTACAGCTTTGGAAGATGGTACAAGTGCCCCACAATACCCACAGACAGCAGGTTGAAGTGCTTCCCTCCCACAACAACTTCCCTCAAAACGGCGGCAAAAATGTTCATCAGCCTGAAGGTTCCCAACTCTTATCCATCCCATTCCCTATGCCAGGCTGCAGCAGCACAGGG